TCGCGCGGGAAATCTCGCGATGTCGCGCAATTTGCATATCGCGCAGTGGGAACGGGGCCTAAGCAGGTGATTTTCATATAGACAGCCTGCGCCATAGATAAAAGTCGACTGCAAAAATTACTGCACCAAGAATGTATTATGTGTGCACCAATTTTTATTCAAGCAAAGTCTGAAATTCAGTAACCCAATATATTGAAAGTGGAGAAAAGAAAAGTGCCTATGCCGCTCTTATGCCCCGGGTCACAACTGTGCAACGCAATCCCCGAAGGGTATACATGGTTTGCACGCATTAGGGCCGCCCATTCATTTTAATGCTGCTCAATGCACGACAGCTGCACCATGCACCAAAAGTGCATGCACCTTTACCAAAAAAAAAAAAGCATGCTACTTTAGTGCCATGATTTTGGCAAGCTACAACACGTGTCCCTTGACAGGCATGTTTGAGGTGCCATTTGCACGCATGCAGAAAAGACTAGTGTCTTAATGGGCTGCAGGAACACTTGCAGGGTTATTCACAAAAGGGTGAAGAGTTTGGAGAAGGGAACAATCTAGGCCAAAATAGCGGATTTGGAAAACTTCTCCAATTCAGCTCAATTTCCAGTTCAGCTATGTTGTCCTAGATTGTTCACTTCTCCGGCCTTCTCCAAGCTCTTCACCCTTTTGTTAATAACCCTGTTGAATTTTGCACACGTTTTCCCCAGCGCACAGGTATGAATCAGGGCTAACAAGTGTTTTTCATTCCTATATTGTACTTCAGAAGTGACAGCTGGAATCTGATTCGTTGCCTTGGATAAACCAGCCACCATCCTTTCCTCTGGTTTCTATTATTTGGCTCCACAATTGTGCAAACAAACTGAAATCATAGCCAAGTATTCAGCAAAAAATTCAACATACACAAATCTACTTCACATTGCAATTAAAACAAAATTAAAGAGCTTGTTAGTTAATAACACATCATACTCTAATAGATTCATTAGGTGTATGGGGGGATAAATATATCACCATTTCACACTTTACATAAAATAATTAACACAAAAGCGGAAATTATCAGTTGACACAAATAAAGTTATTTGATTTGTACCTAATAAAACCCACACTTTACCAAACATATCCTAAGGGCCCATTTACACCACATCACAAGTTGCTTCAACACAAGTGTTTTATGCATTGGGCGCCAATACATTTCTAAGACCCCACTCACACTGAGCGGCATGGTGAATCACGAGTTTTTCCACGCGATTCCGTGCTGAGCGGCATTAGGCTACAATGCGCGATATTGAGCGGCAGTGCACATTTTATCGCGCTACGTAGCGCGACTCTTGGGAGGGACTTTGTCACGGTTACATTGGGCGGTGACCAATCAACAGCGGTCTTGATGTGACATCATTCTTTCCTTCCATTTTGCAGTGCAAAAGTGACCCTTCTGTAGCGCAATATCGCCGGTAATTGAATCTAATGGGGCCGAATCGTACGAGCGACAAGCTACACGCGACATTGAGATGTGAACAGCTCCATTGAAATGCATTGGACAAGCTACATAGAGCGATATGGCGCAGAAATCGCGCAACAAAACGCTCAGTGTGAACGGGGTCTAAGGGAATATTCACACTTTGCACTGCTTTAATTTGGGTGCGTTGTGTTGGGGCAGCACATTGCGGGCACGTTCACATCCAAGCGTAGTGTTTATCATTTGTGGGCAACCTAGTGTGCATTACTGTGCGCTAGGTGTGATGCATTACCATTCATTTGAATGGCACCCCAATGCACCCCCTGGCTGCCATGCACTCGAATGAAAGGCAACACAATGGATACAGTGCATGCTAGCATGCATTAATCGCATGGAATCGTGCAATTAATGATATGCTTGGATGTGAACAGGTCCTGTACCAACAGGTGCAGCACAATAGTGTTAATGGGTCCCAAATGGGCTTTCAATGCACCTCGACATGTGAAAAAAATAGCTCCGGGTCTGTTTTTTTAATATGCACAGAGCATTTACATCAGTGCATTGCAGCGAATGGTACATGCGCGTTTGGTGCACAGAGCGCATATTGTGACACACACACACTGGGGGGAATTTATCAAAACTGGAGCAGACAGAATCTGGAGCAGATTTGCACTGCAACCAATCAGCTTCTCTTTCTTTCATTTTCAAATCTTACCTGAGCAAACTGAAGAGAGATGCTGATTGGTTGCCATGGCCAACTGCTCCAGATTCTGTGTGCTCCAGTTTTGATAAATTCCCCCCACTGTGTTGTAATAAAGCTCAAAATACAACCCATGTCTACCTATGCTGGTACTGCAAGGCATTATGGAAGGAGTGTATAACCTAAAAAGGAATAATGGATGTACAAGTTACCACTTTCATAAATAAAAATGACAGGACTGAAACATATAAAGCCATTATAAAATCAGTTCTTCAGCAACAAAATGTAATGGGTATGAATTAAAACATTCCTTTTTTTTTTACTAAAGCCCATGAATTATATTATGGAGCCTGTACATTAAACCATGACAGAACAGTAATGAACGCCATCACATTTACCATAAGATTTCCTGGCCTAATACCCAAAAGGATTAAGATTAGGATGGTCAGCATGACTATGAATGCACGATTAGCCTGAATGATCAATCTGATCCCACCACTAAGCTGGAAGAAGAGAGGGACGATACGTTCTTCCCCGAGCACCACGCTACAAGCAATGAAGATATCTAAATTGGTGACCGTCAGCTCCAGATACTTTGGATTTCACATGTTTTACATGATAAATTATTCAAGGCGGGAGAAATCCCAGGAGCCAGGTCGCCAATGCTCCTTCAAAATGACAGCTGGCGCCTAACTCTGAGGTTTTCTCAAGTTGTTGTTAATGGATCCTAAAACAAATTTTGCTGGCTCCTGGACTGGGCAGGATGACTCCATATTGTGTCCACCCCTGACATACAACACACACAGCGGTAAAGTAGGAGTCGGCTCTGCTAATACATAAACGGAGACTAATCACAGACCATCAATATTTCATGGCAGCAGAGAACTTTGTCTGCTCAGATGAAATGCTGTCAGTGGAGCTGGACATACAACATGGGTTGAATGACAAAAATCAAAGAATGACATATATGATGCTGACTGTCATTAGAAATAACAAAGCATTCTTTATTTATCCAAGTCCTGTCTGTAACATAGTTATAGCTCCTGCTGATCCCCCCAGTAGATCCATTATTTTTCTGCTTCCTCTAATAGGGTGACAACACTGTTCTTTCCTAAGAAAAATTGGTCAGCATTGTTGTCACATTATGTACAGGGAGTCTTAGATGGACATGTAGTTTACCCAAGAACAAATTAAAGCCCCAACAGTAGCTAAAAGAATAACTCAATTCAAAACACTTTTGAATATGAGTATAGAGGGGGACAGGGGGGATATGTTAGTTTAGGTTTTGTTTTGTTATTTGCCATCTGTGCCCCATTGGGGAGATTTCCCTTCACGTCTTGCCCCATATCCACAAAAGGAAGTAAGAGGAAATCCCTGGCTGTCACCGGAATTAGTGTCCCCATTGGAGGATTTCCCAACTATTTCTGTTCTGGTGACAACTCACTATTTGAGATTGAAGGGTGAATCTCCCTAATGTGGACAGACAAACAAGTCCCTTGCCCCTCTATCTAAAAGTAACAAAAAAAGAAAGAGTTTTGGCTTTATATTTTTTTTAGTCTACATTTGTTGAAGGAGGTGGGTGGAATAGTGTCAGTCAAACAGCGACAACAGTCAATCAGATGTAATCCCTTTTTGGGTATTCTGACAGCTATGGTGTCGGCTGTCAGAATACAATGGCTGTCTGGGGAGATTCCTCCATCCGCTCTGTGTAGCATGGATGGGGGTACTGAGCAAGTCTTAACGTATGGTCAGCCTAAAGAAGAACTCCAGAAATGTAAAAAGTTAACCCTTGCAGGGGGCCAACCACCACTCAGCAAGGGTTAAGTATGTTTTTCCTCTTCTGTGGTATGTCCCTTGGCATCCTCACATCTTATGCAGGTAAATAGACCTTACATAGATGTAATGACGTCAGCAGGGATTAGACTCCGGGGGAGAAGAGTCTGCAGGGTCTGGTCTAGCAGCCATTGGGTAGCGACGTCACGAGCACACCATATTGAAGTGAAGCCAAACGTCTGTTTATTGACGCTTTATGTAACAAGAAATGATAACATTTCGGGGCCACACAGGGTCCCCTTTATCGGGCTTGAAATGGTCTACCAGCCAGACAGCATCGAGTGAGTATATTTCTTTTACTTTCGCCACCAAGACCAAAAGGAGCAGGAATGTAAAAACATACCCCTTGCACAGGGTGACCCCCACCTAACATTTCACACGCCTGGAGTCCTTCTTTAAGCCCCCGCTTACACGTGTGATATGATCTGAAGCACTTTGCCCATCACGCAAAAAAAGGATTCCAACTATTCTCTATGCCCGCCGTTTGCACCCATGCCACCCGCTTCCGTGCGTCTTGGGAAACAGTCCTGGTACAACTTTTGCTGCGTTCATAGCCCCGTAGGACTTCAAAGGGCACGCATGAAAAACATACATTTTCATGCACATGACAACAAGCCTTTATACCCTATCAACCGACGCTTTATTTCACTTTCATTGGTCAACACAAAACACACAACAAAAATGTGGGGAAAAAAACAAAACTGCATGAAAATGTGGACGCACAAGTGTAAAGGAAGACTACAAGTTCTTCTCCCTGACACCTCGGCATGAGATGCATGACACCCCGAGGTGGCTCCCGTCAGGCGGGCGTTGCAGCGACTTGACATTTGGTGTACCAAGTAATACAACTTTTTATCCCTGTGCTGCATCGCCCGCCAGGAGCGGTCCTGGAGTGCCAATCAGAATGAAGGGCAGCGCACCTAGCATGCGCTGTGCACTAAACACACATCCCATGCGTTTCACTTGACATAATGCATGACGGCACAGAGGACGGTGTGAGTGACCCGTGCTCCATCTTACCATAGACTCTGACCCAGCCCTGCTGCTGGCACACGGACTCCATCAGGATGCGGTCCAGGATCCCTCCGGCCCCCCCTGGAGAGTCCTCGGGGAGGAAGTCCCGGTCCTGGAAGCTCTGGAACAAGTCATGTCCGCTAGATAACGAGTCTCCCCCGGGGGACAGATCCATCATGAGCATAGCGGGCACACAGGGCCGGGCTCAGCAGCTTCCTCTCCCCTGGGGGTCCAGGGTGCTACTCTGTGTCTGAGGGAAGGTAAAGGGGGGGCTGGGAGTGTCACGGTGCCCCGAGCTTGGCAGAGCCTGGCATGGACAGAAAAAAAGGGGAGGAAGGGCACACGGCAGCACGAACCCCACGGCGTTTCCTCTTCTGAGGGGGGTCACAGCCGGGAGACTCCCGTGTATGATATCCTGAGGCACGTGACCGTCCACAGACCCGGCTCAGCAGCACGCAAGCGTCAGCCTAGCAACGTTGCCGTGGTGACCGTTCTCACTGGCAGCTCCAGAGTCCTCTTCATACAGCCCGGCGGAGGCAGCAGAGGCGGCGGACGTGTCTCCAGGCTCGCCAAGCTCCAGTGGCATCAGCGGCATCCCTGGGAGATAGACAGGAACAGCTAACAACCCGCCTATCCACTGGAGGGGGGCGGGACCCGCCTCAAACAATTGGGATGCTGGAGCACCTATCTCATCGATAGAGATCAGCAAGGGAGGAAAAAAAAAACGTCCAAAGCGCCACCTGGTGGCTGGAAGTAGACATTGATTCAAATCAGCTTTTCTCAACTTTTTGGGAGCTTCTGGGAGAGTTGGGATGTCTGTGGGACCCAGAGGCGTATCTATAGAAAATAGCGCCTATGGCAAGCCCAGAAATTGTGCTCCTTTCCAAAAACTGACACCCATATTTTAGATAACTTTATCAGAATATCAAATCAAAAAAATGCAAGTCGAAAGTACAAAACCTTTGGGGCCCCCTGGGTAACTCTCTCTGTAGCAGCTGTCAGTGTCAACGGTGACAATATATAGTAACATATAGACAATTGTGCTGCAAGGGGTCAGAGATCCCCCTCTATTGTTAAAGTGAATAGTCGATAAGGCTAAACCTATATTCCTGTGTAATTCTGAGAAAACACCACCCCAGATATCATCCAATGAAAATACAATGCAAAAAAAGTTAGACCGCTCTAGGTAGGATGATTGAATATCTAGTTGTTTTCTCTGAAACATCTTAGAGCATGTATATAAGATTTACAATTAATTTTATTATAACAAAAACAACACAATCTATAGTAAATACCGAACACAAACATCAAAACAGTAACAGAAAAAAACATAGTAACATAGTAGGTATAAGGATGATATATGGCGCTTCCCATATCCCTGTATATTAAGTGAAAAAAGAAACTCATCAAGAAGTTTTTTGAATTTATCAACCCGATCAGCAGTTACCATTCCCTGTGGAAGGGAATTCCACAATTTCACTACTCTCAGTAAAAAACCCTACGAATTCTAAGATTGAACCCCCTTTCCTCCAACCTCCTGCTGTGTTGCCGTGTTCTCAGCACCGTTTTCAGATGGAACAGTTAGTTCCATCCGAAAACGGCATATTGTTGCCCCCATTGATGATTTTGAAGACTGCAATCAGGGCCGGATTAACTCTCGCTCCTAAAATACAAGGCCAGGTTCCTCAATTTACTTTTTGACCTGCAGGCTGCATACAAGTAATCTCAGCAACATCGCCGAGATCACTTGTAGAAAATGAGCGGCGACTTCCTGCAAGGCTAAATGTAGAAAAAAAATAACCGCCTGGCGCCCTGAACTGCATGTCCCAGGTGTCGGGCAATAGGAATTCCACACCCCTGCTGCCCCTCTACTCCCTGCTGCCACGGGGCCGGGCCTTGGTGGCCTTGTGGGAAATCCGGCCCTGAGTGCAATAAGGTCTCCTCCTAATCACCTCTTTTCTAAGGTGAATAAGTTTACATTTTGAAGGCAGTCTTCATAACTTAGACTTTATATCCCTTTAATTTTGTAGCCCTTTGCTAAACTCTCTCCAGCTTGAGGACATTTTTTCTGAGAGTTGGCACCGCATACTCAAGATGAGGCCGATTTTATAAAGTAGAAGTATTAGTCTTTTATCCCTTGCTACAATCCCTCTTTTGATATACACCAGTATCTACATTCCTCTACCTCGGTATGGACTGGAAGAAGAGTCTGCAAAAGTTTGAGCATTGCGTCTGGGATCCACTGATCATGGTTACAATGATTTACTACAGGGGTAGGCCAACTCTGACCATCCAGCTGTGGTAAAACCACAAATCCCATCATGCATATGCCTCTGGGAGTCATGCCTTTGACTGTCAGAATCTTGCATCGCCTCAAGACAGGGATTTGTAGTTGCACCACAGCTGGTGGCCCAGAGTTTGCGTGCCCCTGCTTTATTGGTTCCAATGCTTTATTGTTTTATTTTTTTATTTTGGGGGGGGGGGGGGCATTTTTAAAAAGAAAAGGTTAGCAATGGCTGCCTCCATGTCCCTTCACGACAGATTTCCCTCAAAGAGACACTGTCACTTTGCAAACTGAAATAAACTAAAGCCAACCTGTAAAGAAGCAGATGTATACTAACCTCTCTGGTAGCCAATGCCTCAAAACTCCACCTTTTTGCAGATCTCTGGCTGTTGCTGGTATCCAAAACTACAAGAAGCGTGGCATACCTGTTCCCCTGCATTGCATTGTGGTTCCTGCCACTAGCAATTACATCTCCATAGTGACATAAGAGCTGTCAGGAGGAACCACAATGAGCAGCGGGGAAACAGGTACTTCACATATCCGAAAATGTTGGATACTTGCTTCAGCTTCAAAATGGGCCATAAAGCTAAGACTTCAATAAATGTTTAACTGTGTTAACCTTGAAAATTATACATTTCTCTACAATTCTTATAGTTACACAGGTGAGTAAGTGTTTTTAACTGTTTGTTCGGAATATTTAACTATTTGAGCCCTGGTTTGCACCTGTGCGACAGTGCAAGTGGGGTTGTATGCATTTTACATGTATTAAGATGTGTTCTATTCGGACGGGCCCAAACATTGAATAGGCTGTCCAATCTGCGACAATTGCAACTTTTTAAAAAATGTGCCGCACCAAAATGCATTGTACTTTTGGTGCACTACAACACATGTGCTTTAGCAGGTGCATTTGGGGTAACATTGAAGTGACATTAAAGTTACAAATATTTCTCCCCCCCCCCATGCTGCATTAGGACTTACCTTAAATCGGTGGTTCTCAACTAGTGGCTCATGACCCCATGTTCAGTGGGTCACGACTCCATGTTCAGTGGGTCGCTACATACCTTTTACTACACTATGTGAGAGGCTCCTCTGCCTCCCCCATAGCGCAGCACTGTCAGTTCTCAGGCCGAGTAGCCATTTGAAATATGTTGCCTGCCGTCGAGCGTCAGCTTGAGGTGGGGTGGGCTGGGGGTATGGCCATGAGGGAGCTCCATTTATACGTACCTTGCTTACAGCTTCCTCACGTGACCGGATTTTGGCTCCCGGAACCTCTGCAGGTAGTGCAAAGGAGCTGTACAAGCAATGCACATATGGATTGAACTCTTTCACAGCACAGCAGCCCACACTGAACCCCTAAAAATGTTTTTTCGGTATGTGTGTGTGTGAGAATGTCTGTGAGTGTGTGAGATTGTGTGTATCTGTCAGTGTTTTAATCAAAAAGTACCACACAATCACACCTACCGTTTACTCTGGTAAAGGAGGTGCATTGCCATTCATTTGAATGGCATTCATTTGAACGGCACCCCAAACACTCTTCCAGCCCACAGTTTGATCGCTTGCACCGGAACGTGCAGTACTGCAATGCCGTGCATTCCAGTATGGGTCGTGACTTAATGACCAAGGAAAAATGTGGGTCCTGAAGTTATACTGGTTGAGAACCATTGCTTTACACTATACTGCCTTCCCTTCCCATAATGATTTGCAGGTAATGCTGCAAAGTACATGGTCCCTGTACACTATACTGTCTTCAGATGTCTGTGTCCAGCTGTAGAAAACAGAAGCATTAAACATTAGCCTTTTTGTGGGTTGTACAACATGGGTTTCCGTTTACTTTTATGTCATGATGGGGTATGGGTAGTTTTTGCAGTGAGCATATCTTACTGATGACGACATTCAAGTTTTGTTCACCACACGGTTCATCAAATCTTCATTCATCAAGTTTGGAGCTATGTGAATAAACTGTCTTTGTTCTTTGCAGCCCCCACACTTCCTTGTATAAAGTAAATTTTCAAGAATGTGTTGGCAATTATCACATTTGCCTGATAAAATAGAATAAAATGGAAATCTCATACATGTTTATAATTACATTTTACTATTACACTCTTTTTTTTTTTTAGACGCTTACCTGAGCTGGCCTTTTGGATATAACTAAATATCACTACTTCAATTCCTGTATGGCCCTATGTATCTTATTTATAAGCAGTTAGTACTGTCAGTTATAGTACACTACCAACATACAGGCAATTGGTACATCAATCACATTTACTGCAATCACATTTACCAAAACAGTATCAATGTATAGTGGTTATGTGTATATTTTCTTTTATTTTAGTCAGAATTAAAATAAAAAAATATATATTTGTTAGGCATATAAAAACTAATCACCCAGCTCAATCCCTCCCACCAGGGGTTCTTGACTGTCACATGAGAAAGTGTCACATGAGTGAAACAGAGGAAGCCATGCGTAGATGGGTGGCAATGCTGCAGAGCAAAGATCAGTCTGTGAGCATTGCCACCAAGCATGAGGAAGTGATGGCAACTGGCAGGATCACCAGATTTACTATTTACTACAATGATTTCACAGGAAAACAAGAGCACACATAATCAGAGCTTCTGATGAAAACCTACATTTTGGGTTTACTGACATTTTAAGACAAGCAACAGACAGAGCCACCACAAGGCCCCCTTCATCACAGAGTGAGGACTGTGGAGGAACAGCAGAATGTGGGAAGGGTGAGACTAAGGGACAGTCACACCAGAACACAGTGCTCCACAATGCACATATTTTCATGAGTTGAGATGCTTTACGCTAGGCAGCTCATCCAAAATAAATGAGCTTTAAGTGGGGAGGGTGCAATTCAAAGTGGATGGCACTGCCAGTCACTACAGCATGCATGGTGCGCTTCCTATTTTACCCCACATCACTGCAACATGGTGGTGTGAGCAAGCCTTAAATGAGTTGGGGTGGATTTTAAAGAACCTTTTTACTTTGCCCTAAATGAAAAAAACAGCACTTTTCCTTCTATGCTAAAAAAGAGAAAGTATGGGTGAAGTGTAGAATTCAGTTTCTTAGTCAACATCGCCATCTAATGGTTTTATACATAAAAACTGTTAGCAAATTCTCTACTAGGGAGAAAATATATTCTCTAAAAAATCTGTTATGACGGACACACATAGATGGTAAAATTACTAGCCTCTGGGAGTGAAAATGCTAGATGCCTTGCCATGCATCTCACCTACTTTGAATTCTTGTCCTCAGTCAGTGACTGAACACTTGAGGTTTATTTCAGTGTTAATTTTGACAGCAAATTTCGATTTAGTTTTAGTCAAAGTCTTTTGACTAAAATGCCATTTAGTTTTAGTCATCT